ATGTATATATGTATATGTATAGTCCTTTTTGCTGCTGCCAGGGGTTGCTGTCAGCGGCAGGCACTCTCAGGCGGCTGTGTGGTAAAATCTGTAAACAAATGAGAGCCTGGGCTAACTTAATAAGTAACGCATTATTGCTGACTGCCTGGATGGCTGACTGGCTGACTGCCTGGCCTGACTGCTTGGGTCCCATCGAAAGGAGTCCGAATAGTTTTTTGTGTGCAATCAAAACAAATACATAAAAAAAAGGGACTCCTCGTCGTCGTCCTCATTGCTTTAATAAGCAATACTTAAGACTTAATGCAGGACATCAAATATGCGCAGCATTTACCTCGCAGTCTCTGCATGGCCCACGTTCCGTTGTTGTATTTTTTCTCTCTATCTCTCTCTCTCTCTCTCTCTCTCTTGGGGTTGTGCTGGCTTGAGTTTCTCTGCTGCTGCTACTGCTGCTGCTGCCTGGCTGTGATTTTTGATTTAAGCATAATTTTGCAAAATGCTCAGCGCTCGACGCTTGCCGGGACATCCTGCTGTGTCCTGCTGTGCGCTTTGAAATATTTTCAAACGTCTCTTCGAGGGATTTTCTGCAATTTTCCCTTTTTTTTTTCGCTCCTGCTCTCTCCATTTTCCATTTACGTTTGCTCCGTCTGTCTGTGCCAGTCTCGCATTTAAATGTTTGCCAAATGAACAGACAGCATTGCCATTGCCCGATTTCCATTTCAATGCGTGGCGTTGTCTTGGCTCGTTTCCTGTCGCTAGACAACGCTGCGTATGATTAATGCCTGCTGAAGATCAACATAGAAGAGAAAGAAAATGAAACCCGTTTAATAAATGACATCAAAAATTAAAACTCGCTGCTGGCGCGTAAATCAAATTTCTATTTACACACAGATGCCATTGATACACACACACACACACCCACACACCCACACACAGAGAAGTATTTACAAGGTGTTTTTGGGCAACCTAATTTGACAGTCGGCCAGAAATAACTCAATTAGTGCCGCGACCTTTTTTTTTTTTTTTTTTTGCTAGAAAGTTTGTACACGACCCAAACACAAACTGAAGCAGAAAAAATCCCCCTATCTCTCTCTCTCTATATATATATTTGTATA